GTACACTACAGAGAACGTGTACTCCTGCAATCGCAATGCCCATCGCCCGAGTCTTCCTGCAGGATCCTTAAGGGTTTACAACCAGCAGAGCACATGGTGGTCTGTGATCACTGCGAACGACCGTCCATATTGGTACGGACGAAATTTTGCGATAGCTGAGATGAGAGCCAGGTACTCTCGCTCAGTAATTGAATAGTTCTTTTCCGACTGAGAAAGTAGGCGGCTAGCGTACGCTATGACACGGTTTGTGCCGTTCTGCATTTGTGCGAGTATTGACCCTATGTCATGGCCACTTGCGTCAGTGCGTAGCTCCGTTATAGCGGCTGGGTCAAAATGAGCCAACGCAGGGGGTGATGTGAGCGCAGAAATCAACGACGCAAAGGAATTTACTTGGTCTTCACGCCGGGAAAAATCCACGTTTCTTTTGAGGACATCCGTGAGGGGCCGAGCAATTTCCATGAAGTTGCTGACAAAATGGTGGAATTATGAACAGAGTCCCAAAAAGCCGCAGACTTCTTGCGTGGAACGTGGGACCGGAAACTCGCGCACCACGCGGACTTCATCAGGATCGGGTCGTACTCTAGCAGCATCAACAAAGTGGCGGAATAGCTTTATCTGACGGTGCCCAATGGTGCACTTAGGCGCGTTAAGCTGGAGGGCAGCACAGCGAAAAACGTCAAGGATGGCTGACAGACGTGGCAGGTGGCTTTCAAAGGTTGGCGAGAAAACGATGACTTCGTCTCGATAGCACAGGCACATCGACCATTTAAAACCGCGAAGGAGGGAGTCCATCATGCGTTCAAAAGTTGCTGGCGCATTGCACAACTCAAAAGGCATGACTTTAAATTGATGAAGCCCGTCGGGTGTTATAAATGCCGTCTTCTCGCGGTTGCGGTCATTGACTGAAATTTGCCAATATCCAGATCGTAGGTCCAGGGAAGAGAAATACTTGGCCCCATGAAGGCAGTCAAGCGCGTCATCAATTCGAGGTAGAGGATAGACATCCTTCTTGGTTATTCGATTGAGATGGCGATGGTTGATGCAGAACCGCCAGGTGTTGTCCTTCTTTTTAATAAGCACAACAGGTGATGCCCAAGGACTGGTTGAAGGCTCTATGATATCTTTGTCGAGCATTTTCTCTATTTCTTTCTGGATTATATGGCGCTCGGAATGAGACATACGGTAAGGACGCTTATGAAGGGGAATGGCGTTGCCTGTGTCGATACGGTGGGTTACGACGCTCGTGCGGTCCATAGAACGGTCGTCGATATTAAAAATGTCGAGGTAAGAAAATAGAAGACCACGAAGCGCTTCAACTTGGGACGGCGACAGGTCGTTTGATACCATTTCGTCTAGGAAAGCTCCATTCTTTGCGGCTGCGACAGGTTCGGCTACGGTCTTGATGTCAGGAGTGAGAGATTAAATTGTACATTGCTCCAGAGTGGAGAGTTCTGCTAAGGCCATACCTTGAGGATTGAGCTGGGTCTACACGGAGAAGTTGAGGACAGGGAGAAGCGTCTTGTTGTCGTGAATCCTCACTATATTATGAGGAAGTATGATGTTCCGGGAAAGGGTGAGGTTTATGAGTGGAGCTGCCAAGTAGTCGCCATCAGGAACAGTTTAGAACGGCGACATAGAAAGGTACACAGTGGCCTGAGGCGGTAATCGTAGACACTCCACGGACCATAGCTGTGTGCGAGATGCAGGAGGGACATCAGAGTACAAATTCAACTCTAGCTGTAAAGTGCCGGTTGAACAGTTGATGGGGGCTGAATGCGTGGTCAAGAAGCAAATGCTGAGAATCACGTCGTGTTGGCAAGAGTCTAGAACAGCGAAGAGGACTGAAGTGTAAAGGCTGGCAACAGTGACATGGGCAGTGCACATACCAAGAAGTAGTGTTCGGCTGCCATCGGCTACTCGCACAGTCGAAAACATGGCAGGGATAAGAATTTTTTTCTGGCGGGATCGAAGACGTCAACTCATAACGGATATGTGGGCACGAGTGTCTATTAAAGCTGTAACAGTCAGGCTATCGATGATAGCACGAAATAAATTCCGTCTGGAATTAGTGGTCGATAGAGGTTATTCGGTCCGAGTCGTCAATGCAGCGCCACCTCCAGGAGCTGCATCTGTTAGTTTTCCCGAGAACTGCCCAGAATACGCCGGTGACGGGGAGCGACGGCGTTGTTAGGAGCGGGGCTGGCGACCTTGAGGCGATGGCGAGCGGCTGGACCGGGTTCCCTGGGTGACTAAATCGGCGTAGGATGGTTCGGAGCATAGCGTAGAATGGCTAGGTGTAACGTCCTGAAGGTGGACATCGGCGAAACGATGTGGCGAATACTGCCCACCATCCTGTCGGTGGTCGTCTAGAAAGGTTGCCGGAAAGGCCATCTGTTGCGGCAGTGGCGGTAAATGTGGCCAATGCGATGGCAAGAGATGCATATCAGTCGATCACCTTGTGTGCGACACTTATAAGAATTTCAGTAGCGCGATGAGAACCGCGGTACCGATGCGGCAGCAGCAACAAGCGGGGCGGCATTGTAGTGAGCGTTAGGATTTATGGGCTGCGGTGTGTGGCTGGAGTTTTGGGGAACTAAGAGTGTCATGTTGACAAACTCTTGTCGCACAACAGCCTGAATAAGAGATATTCGGGCCGAGTTGTCAGGTACAGGAGGTTGATAAGTGGAAAGAGCCATGGCTTCCAGCTCCTGGCGGTAAATTCTTGTGATGTTTGGAGGACTCACAAGTGGATGTGGCACCACGAGGTCCTCGCAGGAAGCCACGGTATTCGGGAGTCGGAAAAAACGTTGAGTGATTCTGCTTTTGGCTTGTTCGAACCGCCGATATTCACTGACAATTGAGTCAATGGTATTACAGTTCTTGCATATGAGAATGTTGAAGTCATTGTCGGCTATGCCTTTCAACACATTGCTGACCTTGTCTAGTTCGGTGATGTATTTGTCGGCCTTAATTCCGACACAAGGCGAGCACGTCTCAGATATAGGTGACGTACGACTCTGTGGAAGATTGAACTCGTGATGCAAGTTCCGGCCTGGCTGCCATATGTCCAGAAACTGACCGGCTCAACAAGTCACGGAGCTTCTGCTTACACACGTCCCAACTTGTCAGGTCTTCCTCGTGTGTCTCGTACCAGGCGCGTGCAGTACCTCGCAGGCAAAATATGATGTTGGCCAGCATAAGCGTCTCATCCCACCTGTATTGCTTGCTGACACGTTCGTATAAGGCGAGCCACTCGTCAACGTCAATTGTCTCGGTGCCGCAAAATGCACTTGGATCGAGGAGATGGGAAGCGATCACAGGTGATGGAGAAGGCGTAGACTGAACGGACGGCGCAATGCCTTCAAGCATCATGATTGGATGTTGTCCGCTACGGAGATCCACAGTCGGAATGTTACCCAGCACGTCGACCAAAGATATGTAACAGGGATTAATTAATAAATGAACGCCGGGGGGGCTATCACTGCACATAGTATGTAAGGATGCAAGGCAATATGACAGTCCAGACACGGACAACATCGTCGTACTCATTTTTCTGCGTCATTTTTGCACCTGTGCCTGAGGTATCTTTCTATACCCGCGGCAATATTTTCATGAATTAGTGATTCACTAACTACCCTCATGAAGTCAGCGTGAGATGCAAATGAAGACAGCACAAGTGGGGGCATTTGAAGAATTTGAAGAAGTTGAGGCATTGAAGTAGACGGGCCACTCGAGTTCCTACTGCTATCTTACTTAGCCATGCGCGTATCAGTCTGCCATCTAAATTTATCGTATTATTTATGTTTGTTGGGGTTAACGTATAAAATCCATGATTTGATTATGAGAGATGTCGTAGTGAAGGACTCCAGAAGATTTGACTACCTAGGGTTGTTTAAATTGCTTCTACATCTATTTTGAAATAGTTTTATGTGGTGCGAGGGGAAACAGAGAAACAGGAAGGGATAAACGGGGAGAACCGAGTGCTCTTCTCTCCTTCGTTTCTTGCGTACGCGGTTATACATGGCTTTATCTGTTATGATTTCTTTTAGGTAAATGACATTATCGTGCATTTATCTGAGTGATCGCACGGGCTTATCTGCCTGCCTGACGAATATGGCTTAAAAGCGGTCTGCATCTGAAAAAATAAATATGTTGGCCCTAGTTTAAAGTTCGACGGAAGCCCGTTGGGTCGGGATGATACATGGTTGAAGGTAAAAAACCTGAAGCCACTGCGCTGACCAAACTAAAGTTAAAAAAAAACAAAAAAAATGTGTTTCGGCGCCACATAGAAGCCTTGTTCACAAGTGAAATCAAAACATGCGTAAAACAGTTCGCCTTGTGTATGTTTCAATATATCTTGCAGGCAGCGCGCATATACTGACGGAAGAGTGTTCCTGTGTTTGCTTCTACTGCCTCAACAATTCATATTCTTGATGCCTCAAATTGCTTTTTTAAACGAATAGTGATTACAAATTAGATCTTGTGATGCTTTCAAAATCAATAGGCAGTAATAAAGGTATGATTGGACAAGAGCATAGTACAATTGTTTCTTATTTTGTATATTATTCGAATAGAGCATTAGAGGCCAATCATTCTACGAATAGTTATATCTCGTTTGAAGAAATTGAAGGATTTCAATAAATGTATTTCGAGTAATATATATTGCAGCCTTCCTTCTTATGATGTAATCCAGCTGGGTTAATTTGCTGATGACAGATGGAGGTTTAGTTCATTCGTGTTTCAAGTGAAGCACCAATAAAAAATTACAGGGATCCGTGACAAACAAGGCACAAACACTGGCTCTCTGTTGTGATTTTTTCCTTTCTCCCACATTTCGTTGATCAGTTTTTAGGCTGACACGTTGTTTTAGCTCAAATCACTGTGTGCTAGTCAACTCTCAAGTTGGCAAATGGTTTCCGTATGTTACTTTCTATGAGTCACAAAAGGTTTATTCAATACCCATATAGCCATTGATTTTGCCTGTAAATCACACATTGCAGGTGACAGCAGGGAAGTCCTCCAGCCAGTGACCGAAGATCCCGAGACTCCTGTAAGTTCTTAAGCTCCATCATAACACAGTATTTTGCAGCTACATAAATTGGTAATGCGTTCATAAACTTTAAAGGAACCAGGTATTTGTAAATGTGAAACGTTCTTTCGTGAAACAGTCTATCTATCTATCTATCTATCTATCTATCTATCTATCTATCTATCTATCTATCTATCTATCTATCTATCTATCTATCTATCTATCTATCTATCTATCTATCTATCTGTCTGTCTGCCTGTCTGTCTGTCTGTCTGTCTGTCTATCTGTCTATCTGTCTGTCTATCTATCTATCTATCTATCTATCTATCTATCTATCTATCTATCTATCTATCTATCTATTTATCTATCTATCTATCTATCTATCTATCTATCTATGTGTTTTTCTGTCTATCTATCTATCTATTTATGTGCTTGTCTGTCTATCTATCTATTTATCTATCTATCTATCTATCTATCTATCTATTAAAAAAGTGCAAATTGATGGCCTCGTTTTTCTGTATTGGACACAACATAAGGAGAGCTAACCGAAAATAATGCCGAGTAAGGAACAGGCGATGTTGTCAGAAGTAATTTCAATGTAAAACTGAAGGCAGGAAAGTGCACAAAAAGATAACTTGCCACCGGCAGGGACCGAACCTGCGACCATCGAATAACGCGTCCGATGCTCTGCCCACTGGGCTACGATTCTATTCATCGATTCGTCTAATTTAGAGGGCATATATGTGCTAACAACAGGTTTACATTGCGTATGTTTTTGTTTACTCTACTAACAGAATACTGAAGCTTGCTGGGCACGTTAATACAGGGTAAACAGTGGGATCTTAAGTTGACAATGGGAACGTAAAGCACGGGAAAAATCATGGAGGGTTATATCAAGGAGACATGGTAAGGGCTGTATAACTTCAGGTCTTTAGGAAAGTCCAGAAGTTTGGTAAGGGACAGCCAGTCATTGAAGAGATCCGGGAAATGAGTGGGACTTCCCCTTGAGTCAACGTTTTCCTTCTGGAGCTGGGGCCCTTGTGACGTAAACGTGTGCGCGAGTCGGCGTGACTCTCCCGCTTGTCAGGCAGCTTCCGATGCAAGCGGACATCCGCAAAACGTCAGGACGGTAAGGGAGGAGAGTGTCGACAGTGTGCAAAGTTTCCCGTCCACACAGAGAGAAAGATTGGAATACAGTGTTACGCTTTGTCGCGTTATTCTATGTGAACGCTACGAAGGGAAGAACGTGGTCGCAGTTCTCACAATCGCATTTTACATACATCGTGAGCATACTGCCGAGAACATGGGTAAAGCATGCTGAGGTTCCGTCAGTTCATGTTTGATATGTCATGACCCAGCGAAGAACACCATGGCAATAGGAAAGCAAAGCTTCGACGACTCGCAAGAGAAAGGCTTGCCTTCGGTTAGTGAAGAGTTCTCAAGACGCACATTATCAATGAATGAAACAGGGGAGGAGGAAATATGCTAAGTATCGCACTGTGGCATTTTGTAGTGCAGTGGTTTCGGCAAAGCATGTTTATTGGTCTTCGTGGACTATTCTCTTCTGGGAAAATAAAGAGCTCTTAGTCAGCCATCCAGCGTCAGTGACAGTGGACCGTACAGCTCGATTCTGATGCCACCAAAGCGTTTGGCAGGTCGCGGAAACAGTTTAGGGCTCCAGATAAGAGTAAAGGTGGTAATTTGCGTCGTTGACATTCAAGGCAGCGCTGAACAAATTTTTTTGTATGAAATTCTACATTCTGCGCCAGTAGATTAGATGGCAAATACGTTCGTACGTCCTGAATACTCCGGCATGCCCACAATGCAGATCATAGCAGAAGGAGGCGCACATTTGTAATATTAAGCTGCGGGGAGTGACGAAAAGTCATTCACAGCCTTCGGGGGTGTAGTTTCGGTGGCAAAGTAGCCGATCACGAATGGCGATATCAGCATGCCGCAGAGATTGGGATACCACAATGGTTGAAGCTCCAGATAGATAATCGATAATGGAAAAGCCACGTGGCCCGGCGTTGTTCAGTAGCAATAACAAAGTCAAGTGATGAGACTGGGAGTGTAGAATTCCTTTCGCAAGCCTAGTCTTCCGGCAAAGGCGAACGGGATAGGGCGTCCGCGCCATAGTGCTGGCGTCCACTGCAATAGATCACGTGAATATCACACTTCTGGATTCACAGTGTCTAGCGTGATAGCTTGCCGGAAGGATCTTTCAAGGAGGTCAGCCAAAAATGTGCATGGTGATGCGTTTCCAGGTAGAACTAGTTACCGTTATAACTCGAGCGGTACTTGCTGAGCACCCTAACTAGAGCCAAGCACTCATTTTCAGTCTCAAAGTAGCCTCTGCTTTTTGGAGTGTGCGGCTCACAGAGATGACGACGTTAGCTGTGCTTACGTTAGACACGAATAATGCAAAGACCCACTTTGCTGGCGTCTGGGTCGCTTCCGTTGCAGCTGTTCGGTCGAAACGCCGTTAGGAAGACGTAAGAAGGGCCACAGTGTAGACCCACAAACTGGTTGGACCCATAGCGTTCGGCTATGGGGCCAACCAGTTTTTTTAACTTTGTATCTGATGCCTGCAAATGAAGAATTGAATTGAATTGAAACGCGATGTCACTTTCATGAGACCAGGAAGGTATATGTCACTGCGTAAGAGACCAGTCAATAGCGACGTGATTGAGGAGAAATTTCGAACAAAGTTATGGAAGTAGGAGCACACTCCAAGAAAACTACGTATGTATTTGCAATCGTAGCAGGCTTCGAAACTCGGTGACTGTCCAGTTTCCTAACTAGAACGTATTGGTTTGCTCGTGCGTTCACTCTAAAGAAAGGTGTAGGACACAAACCATGCAGACGAAAAAAGGAAGGGGACATGGTAGAGCGTCAAGTTGTAGCTTTTTTTGAACAAAAATCTAAGTTTTATAAGCATGCGAGGTACTGCAAAATTACAGTTGCGCAGGACATGGCAAACACTTTCATGCCTATGAAATCACACGAGATAATAAAATTAAAAAAATTCCACTTCTGCCTTGCGTGTCAATGTTGCTTCTATCAGAGGCAGGGCTGTCGCCCTGCGTAAAACAAAAGCGCATTGTATTTTTTTATTTTTTGTAATCGTGATTCCATAAGCGCGGACGTGCTCACCAATGCCCTGCGCAGCTACAACTGCACACCTGTCTGTATGTTTGAAAACAAGGTGCTGCTTTTTCAAAAACAAAAACAAAAACTAAAAACTTGTTTCAAGTTGATGCTCAATCCGGTCCCTTTCATTTAGTGTAGGTGGATGGCGTCTCTCCCCTTCCTTAAGACTGCACGAAGTTTCGCAGGGTTGGTTAGAACAACTATGTGGTCTTACATGGTCAGCTGCCGAGCGGCGAAGCGGCACTCGCTGATAATGATGATACTCTCATATTGCTGGCTCCACAAGAAGGGACCAGGCAACACCCGGGTGGCAGAATTTTTATGTAAGATGGTTATGTATATTCAAGTATCCAATATAATTTAAGTGAAAGACAAAAATAACAGTAAATAATGTAGGAAGATGTTACATGTGCAAGTGGTCTGGCAATTCAGAACTTTCACAGATGGGGGCGTCACCATGCGGCATCCGTCCTAACTGTCGTTTGGAGGATGCCCACGCAGCCAGACCATGCCATTGTTCAGTCGGCCCTATTTCGGCAGTTCACTGGTGCTTTATATTTTGTCGCTGGTAATTTCTCCTATGGCTATTTTGAAGTCGAACAGGTACTGTGAGTCGTAGTAACAATGATTTACTCTTTACTGTTTGCTTGCTGAGCAGGAAGAATTACGAAATATGTTGGATGCTGCTGTGCCGACGACGTGCAGTTAGAGGCAAGGTTTTCTGCTTTTTGCACGAGCACGACCGCTTGATCTTCCCAGGTCGTGGCACGAGCAGCGTTCACAAAGCTGTACGTGCATTCATTCACACCGCAGCAGACGATGTGCCCGGCGTACAAAACTTTTTTCTTCAATATACGCCACCACGCATTTCTTACCATGTAGGGCGGGATATAACATGCTAGGGTCAATGACCTTCTCAGCAAAAAAACTCACAACACAGTGGATGCAGCCGAAAATACTACGCTGTTACAAGTGACTGACACACTGGCAGCAGCTATCGGCGGGCCAGCTGCACGATCCCCAAACGACAGCCATGTTGGGCTTGTACTAGCGCCCTCTCTAGGCGGTGAAAATTGCGAATCACTTTTGAGGTTTAATTGCATTCGCATTCAAGCGTCGTTTAAACACGTCAGAACCTCTCGCAGCCGCTGTAGGCAGGCTATGAAACTAGAAATAAAAAAGTGTCAATATTGTCGAGGTAGAATGACCATAAACTACTTGAAGCCACAGTGTGATGTCGAGGAGCCGTTCAAGCATAATAGGTTTGTTGCAAATACTAAAACACACTACGTCGAATTCATACAGTTGTCGGATGCTATAAATGCACTTTTCTTGTGATCTACTTCAGCTATCGACACCTGCCGTTAGCCATGGCATGTTTAGAAACACGAAGAATTCTGCCCACTGATAGCTGTCAAATGCTTTGTCGACGCACGCAAAAGGATATACGTCTTTTCACGTCACCTTATTTTATGCGTGTTAGTCGGTGCAAAAGCGAATAAGCACGTGCTCTGGCGAACTAGAATAGGCTGTGGGATGCTTTATTAATGCCACGGTGTGGCATATCTTCGACCTGGTCATTTATGACACGATGTTCTGCAGAAAAGAAGCTGTACGACCTTTCACGCAAAGGCTGGTGTAAACCGGTACCAATGTAGTTTGAGCTTTCGACATGCTACTCAACTGAAGCTGAGAAACATAAAACGAATTTGTAAAGTGCTCGAGAAGCCAAAGCAGCTCGGCGTGTTTTTAGAAGTACGAATACCGGTGATTTAACTGTTGAATATGTCACAAGACGAGCTGTCCAGTGTTGAAATGGCATCAAGGCCAGTCGACTCAGTAAGGCACGATTTGCTTGGCAGGTTAAA